CCTCTGCGTCTGAAAACTAGAGAATGCGTGTCTGGTGAGAGGGGTTTCAGCGTTGGCGGTCTGAAAGCACCATTAGGGACAGGGACAATGACTGAGGATTTGAAGCAGGTGGGGACGTGGCAAGACTCCAGTGAGGTGTTGAAGATGTCAGTTAAGACGGGGGACAGCTCGTTCGCACAGTGTCCCAGGGTGGCGGGTGAGATTCCATCCGGGCCGGCAGCACTTCGGAGATGCAGCCTAGAGAATTGACGTCTAGTCTCGTCTGGAGCTATTGACAGTGAGGGGGCAGGGGGGTAGAGGGGCTGAGGAGTGAGGTGTCGAATGAGCAGTGGGGGGAGGTGTCAGGAACAACATCAAAGCGGCTGAAGAACTAAAACAGAAAACACATTGGTATTGGTCCACAGGGGGCAGATGACCAACGTCCAAGTGTTGTTGAATGTTAAGTGTCCTGAATCATCACAACTGTCCTTTTAGTAAGACCCTCACAAGACTCTAACAGACCCTCCTGCTTCGGTAAGGAAAAACTCTAAAACCCAGTGGGAAAAGTGAGAAACGTCTGGATGGTCCACATTGAGAGGACGGGCGAACAATAAATCCAGGCTACAGAACAAGGACCAACGTGATGCAGGACTGAGGCAGCTCCCAGGCAAGGGGGGTGTAGCCCACGAGTTGGGCCAGGCAGGACAGTCCGCAGGTGCAGCAGGAGGAGGACCGGTTCAGGGATCCCATCCTAAAGCCATGAAACAGACAATGGGACAGCGGGTGAATAGCAATGAACTGACTACAGTCAAAGTCATGATGCTCAAGTACAGTAAACCAACTCCATATTCAGCTTGACTGACAACCTGTGCTTTTTAGACAAAAAATCTAATTAATTAGAGTCTTACATCTTAATCGCCTATAAATATTTGATCTGAGAGTATTTTTTCTCGCATGGATTTTGACTGAATACAGACGCTTAAGCAACGAAATATTGTTTATTTTTGACCAAACAAGCCCAACAGATCAGTGCAACTTTTGGGATTAAGTTTAGCACTAGTATATTTAGAAATATACTAAGAAATGTGGGGGCGGCAGTAGCTCAGTTGGTAGAGCATTGGCCTTTGAGCCTGACGGTCGTGGGTTCGAGCCCACCATAAGACCTACTTCACGACTCCCTCTGATGACTGCTGTCGTTGTGTCCTTGGGCAAGACACTTAACCCCACTTTGCCTGAAGCTCCCGCTGAAAGATCTCAGCTCCTGTGGACTCACCACCTGCAGGAGAATCAGTGAGGGGCTGGTGCTCTGTGTACTGGGTGCAGCTCTGACTGCCACCCCCCGACCCAGAAATGGATTTAGGGGAAGAAAATGGATGGATGGATATTTAGAAATATGATACATTTTGCAGACTCTTATCTTCTACCACTCCAGGTGGTCTACAGTTGAGTGCCATCCAGTTAGTCGGCCTTACAGCAGTCACCTGGTGGAGTGTGGCTTAGAGGTGTGGGTCTTTGTACACACCTAAGCCACTGGCCCTATTTTATTCTCCATGTTCATAAATGATCTGCCCAATATTTGTAAAGGTGTAAACATCCAATTATATGCCGATGATGCAGTGATATATGCAAGTGCAAAATCATCTGAGGAAGCTGCTAAAATTCTAACGTCAGCACTTGTAAATATTCAGAGTTGGCTCACGAAGTCCTGTCTGCTCCTAAACAAACAAAAAACTGTTTGTATGATGTTCTCTAAAAAGGCCTCTAACATCAGCCGCTCCAATGTGTTTATTGAAAATCAGGAACTACAACTAGTAACAGAATTTAAATACTTAGGGGTGTTAATAGACTCCACATTATCCTTTAAAAAACACGTGAAGATGATTGGTAATAGAATTAAGTTCAGCGTTTCCAATTTTAATCATATAAGGAGGTCATTAACAGACGAAGCTGCCTTGACGTTTTTGCACTGTATGATTTTTTCCCATGTAAGCTATTGTATAACGTGTTGGTCACTAACAGGTGTAACAATCCTAAAGCCAATTGAGAGGCTCTACAAAAAAGCACTGAAAGTTTTAGACAAAAAACCTTACACTTACCATCATTGTAGTATCCTCTCAAAATATAAACTATTAAGTTTTGAGAACTTTATCAAATTCAAAAATGCTTGTCTCATATACAAAAGTTTACATGGGTTAGCCCCCCCTCCTTTGAACGATCACATTAGATACAAAACTTCAACTTCACGAACCACCAGAGCCATGAGTCGAGGTGATTGTGAGGTTCCTGCGAGAAAAACTACTTTCGGACAAAATGTTCTGTCGTACAAGGGCTGTGTGCAATGGAACAGTTTGCCGACTTCTGTAAGAGAGGCCCCTAGTTTTACTTCATTTAAAAGTCTCCTAAAGGAGTGGTTAAGGTCGTCTCAAACATGCGACCATTATTAATGTTGGGGAACATGCGATGAGGGTTTGTTTGCAAATAGGTCTCTCTTTGTGGTTTACATCTTAAAGTGGGGAGTTATTCTTAAGTATGAGTGCAGGAGGAAAGCAACAAACGCAGCTACGATTCAAACAAGACAAACGACTGCACAGTTTATAAGTTATATATATTGTTAGTATTAGATAGCAATATGGCCTACGTGCAGGACTCTACAAGGACTCTGATTATTTTGACTATGATGTGACTGTCTCTGTGTGACACGTCTTTCCATGTGTGACGTGACAATGACTATATAAACTGTGTTCTGCCTCCATTCTGTCTGAGAGAAGGAAACAATGGAAACCACTGGAACTTGAGAGAAACTTAAATAAACTTCCAGAGTTTGGCGCACCACGATCCGTCTCTGTCTGCTTCATTCCTGACAATATGTTTGATAGTCCACTGTCTCCTGTATATCAGGCTCTGAGCCCAAACTGCTTTTCCTTCGAAGCACAAAGCTCTCTGCTCCATAGTGCCTCGTCCATGCTCCTGCTGCAGCCGCTCCGTGCTTCCTTCCAATACACACACACGGACCAATCACAGCGGAGCTTCCTTGCGGCGACCCTTACGTAGTTAGAAAATGTTGATGCTGCGCGGCAGGCGACGTAAGTGCCTTGCGGTGACCAACGCGTTGCGCAAGTGACGTCACGTCACCTCCGTAAGCTCCGCGCCGCTCGAGTATAAACTAGGCTTAATACTACAATAAACTATTAATATGTTGTTTATATGGCACAAAAGAGACTTTGCATTTCCTTACTTTTAATCTCTTTCAATATTATTTGGCAAAGGAACAACAAACAATTTATTCAAGGATCCAAACATCACACATTTTTGTTTTAGTGACTGAGGATCAAGAGCAAATACGTTGCTGGTCCTTAACACTTCAGTAATAAATGTAGAAGATGTCTTCAGCTGTACATCTCTCCAAACATTTACTCAGCTCTTTAACTAAAACAGAAGCTTGACCTGACAATCCAAATCTATTAGTGTTGATATTTCACAAAACCTTTCATCACAAAATAAGTTTTTTCAAAATAGCACACTTTAAGTTTATTTGACTGTTATTTCTGAAATATATTTGTTATGCTAAATTTTAGTATACTAAGTATAGATTTTTTCACCTGGATATTACAGCTCAAAATGGAGAATGTGACACAAAGTGTTACTGAGCGAGAGGCGTTTGCTCCTCAGTCTCCCCGGTAGAGTCTACTCTGTATAATGTCAACAATCATTCATTATTTGATTGATTACAGTTCCTATAATGATGAATCAGGTGAAGGCACTGGTCTAGATACGTACAGTAACTACAGTATGGTATGTGCCAACACTTATATGGATAAAGAGATGATACTTTATTGTTCTGTGTTGGATAAATTCTAGTGTCCAGCAGCAGAAACACATCCATCCAAACAAACAAATAAACACATTATTCTAAAAGTTACAAACAATAGTGTAAAATACAAAAGGACTTTAGGTCACAGCAGCAGAGGTGGTGTCGCCGCTTTGTGCGGAACATTTTCTCTGCTCTGGTTCAGAGTGAGATGCTGAAGGCTTTATTATCATTTTTCCAAAAAATTAGCGTTCCTCCAATGGATTTACGCTTGATCTTCTTGGTTCGGGCGGTGCATCCTCTCTGCTCTGGTCTGGATCAGTGCAGTAACATTAACAGCTGGAGAAAAATCTAGAAAAATAACAATTGTAAAACATAAAACAACTGTTTCAGAGACACTGAGGACTTGCTGCTGCTTCCAGCGCATTCAAAAGTAAAAAAAATATATATATATATATTATTATTAAACTTATTGCTTATTATCAAACTTGTGGTTTTAGGGCGTTCCAAAGAAGAAGAAAGTGTTTACACAGAGAATAGAATTGTTTTTGTTTGGTTTAAACAGTTTTTGGAAGACTATGGTTTCTGAACTGAATTTTCATGTTTTCGAAGCGTATCCGACAAAACAACAGAAATGTTGAAAGAGAAATGTCCTGTGGTTTTCCAAGATCATTATTTGATAGTGATTAGATTCACATAGCTGCGATATTATTATTCTTATTAGAGACCAGAGAGAGACGCCTTTATGAGGAAATAATGAGACCATAGTTGATATGTGCCGACAAAGTCATGACAGTTTTGGTTTGATGTGGGTTGTTAAAGGAATCACAGAGAAATGAGCTCTTAGCTGAGAATCTAACTTTTGACACTTACCATAGTTATCGGGGCAAAGGCTTCAGCTGCGCTCTCCCACAAGGTGAAACTATCGCTCTTTGGACCGTGCTGATTTTACATGACCACATGCTATATATTTATCAACATTTGTGGTCATCTGCCCCTAGGACCAATGGCTCTATGTGTTTTTCATTATTGTATTTCTTGTATCAATCTCTGAATGACGGCTTTTTAAAGTCTTCCGAGATTGAGATTGAGGGCTATGCCAAAATCATTTGAATTGAATATAGAACTTTGGTCCAACTGTCTGTTTTCATAGTGGGTTATCTTTGTCGTCAGTGCTTCCTGTGTCTTTAATGTGAGCCCACACTGATCTCTAATGGACTCCCGTCCACCAGGGGGCTTCCTGATCCCGTACTTCATCATGTTGTTCTTGGAGGGAGTTCCTCTGTTCTACCTGGAGCTGGCGATTGGGCAGAAGATGCGGCTCGGCAGCATCGGGGCCTGGACCGCCATCAGCCCGTACCTGGGGGGTCTGGGTGAGTCCCACACGCAACATCTACACACCCTCACAAACTGAGCTGGGATCATGGACAACATGTGACCCGCTGGAGCTCCATCAAGCCTCAGAGCGAAGGATCTTGTGTCCATTCACTGACATTGAAAAGTAAACTCCTCCAGCTCAGTAACCGTTTGTGTCGCACTCAACATTTAAGGTTAAAAATCTGTGGTTTAGCCTTCTATTTTAGGGTTTTTCATTCATTTCAACTGCATGGCGCTTTCACCATGGATCTATGGATTATAATAACTGGATAGGGCATTACTAGCTTACAGCTGTTCCACCCATGGGCACAGGTGGCGCCCGTGGTACTGCAGACTAGACTAAATTCACGTGGGCTACCCAGAAAAACTCTATGTAAACTAAAGCAGCTCGACCTCAGCTGACAGAGAACCTACAGCTTTCATAAAGATCGGATTTTGTGGAGATTTTAGTCCTGAACTTGTTTTCTTGTTAAATCCTTTGGTTTTCTGTAAATCCGCACTTTAATGCTACAAACTCTGCTGGTTTTATTCCCGCTCTAGCTTCGCTCTGATCAGCAGCTCTGATTGGTCAGAGCGCGGCCGAGCCTCTCTGTGCACGTGCATGACAGTCACACGTGTATTTGGCGCTACGCATCATGGGAGCTCATCCACTGCACAGAATTGAGAGGACCAGACGAAGCCTAAATATTGGCGAGTTCCGCTAATGTTTCGTGCCCCATGGCCCTAACCCTAACAAGCCATTGATTTGAATATATCCATATTTCACTTTCAGTTTGATGTGTAGAGAAAACCAAGTGAGAACAAGTGCTTCTGATGAACAGCAGCAGGCGATACTCTTGTCCTTGTAAGTTTAGCTGAGGAGGAGAGAGGATGACAGAACAAGCACTGAATATGAACTGAAATGTCTCCACTGTGAGTCGAATAAAGGTTTATCATGCACCTTTTAAACAAAGAAACCCACCAGAACACCACAACCAGCGAAAATACTCTCACACTATTACGCACCTGTAGACAATATGAACGGAAATGGAAAAAGACACAACTCACAGTATTTCACCTCGCCTGGAAAGACAGCCTCAAACAGTATCAACACTTAGTCAAGGAAGCAAGAACCTTATTTTATTCAAACACCATCAGTCCAAACATTTCAAATCCTAGTGTTTTATTTCAAGTTTTAAATTCCATTACAAACCCCAGTCCTGCTGTTTTTAATGATGCATCCACTGAGCTGTGTGAAATGTTTTAAAATCATCTTATCAACAAGATAACAGATATCCGGGCCCAAATATCTGCTCCCAGCCAAGCAATTTTTATTAACAGAGAAACTCTGTATTTTAATTGTTTTACTAATGTACGCCTTTATCCCTTTCTCTTTTATCTGACATTTTATTCCACATGAAACCAACCACGTGCAGCCTCGATGTCATCCCCACCAAATTTCTCAAAGATGTTTTTAATGTGGTTGGACCCCCCATTTTATCGATCCTTAATCAGTCCCTGGACCAAGGTCTTGTCCCATCCAGTGTTAAACATGCTGTGGTCCAGCTACTTTTAAAGAAGCCTAATTTAAGCACTAATGATTTTAACAATTTTAGACCCATTTCAAACCTTTTTTATCCAAAGTTTTAGAGAAAATTGTTTCATTACAGATTTTAGATTTTATTAATGAGAACCACATCTTTGAGAAATTCCAATCCGGTTTTAAAGCACAACACAGTACAGAGACAGCCCTCCTTAGAGTTTTAAATGACTTTTAACCACAGACAGCGGAGGGTGCTCTATTTTAATTCTTCTAGACCTAAGCGCAGCCTTCGACACGATCGACCACAAGATTTTATTGGATCGCCTCAAAACGTAGGTTGGCATCAGAGATACTGCACTTGGTTGGTTTCATTCTTATCTTTTAGACAGAACCTTTGCGGTCACCATGGGTGATTTTACCTCCTCTACAGCCCCCATTACCTGTGGTGTGCCGCAAGGTTCTATTTTATTTTCTATTTATGTGCTTCCCCTATAGACACGTTATGGCCCGTCATAACGTGTCCTTCCACTGCTCTGCGGACGACACACAGATCTACCTCCCGCTGAGACCAAACGACCCTGAAGTCTGCTGTGGTCAACTGTTTTAACGATGTGAACCGTTGGATGGTCCACAACTTTTTACAGCTCAACACCTCCAAATCTGAAGTCCTCCTCATCAACCCGCCTCCATCAATATCCCACATCCAAACCCACCTAGGCCCCCTGTCCTCAAACATCTCTCCCTCCGCCCGTAACCTCTGTGTCATTTTTGATTCTCACCTCACCTTCCGCTCCCACATAAAAAAAAACCCAATCCTGCTTCTTTCACCTCTGCACCGTCTCAAAGATTAAAAACATCCTCACTCCTCCCGATCTCCATAAAGTCGTCAACGCCCTCATCTTCTCCCGCCTCGACTACTGTAACTCCCTCCTCTCCGGTCTCGACGCTAAATCCCTCTCCCGCCTCCAACTGGTCCAGACGCAGCAGCCAGACTTCTCACTGGTTTTAACAGAAGGGAGCACATCACCCCTGTCTTAGCGTCCCTCCACTGGCTCCCTGTGCGTTTTCGAATTGATTTTAAGATTTTGCTGATTACTTTTAAAGCTCGTTTAAGTCTGGCACCAAGCTATATTTCTGAACTTTTAACCCCCTACGAGCCCCCCCGCAGCCTTAGATCCTCGGGCAGGTCCCTGTTGACTGTTCCAAGGTCGAGGCTCCGGATGAAAGGTGAGCGAGCCTTCTCTGTCCAGGCTCCTTGGTTTTGGAACGACCTGCCCGAGGAGATAAGGCTCCATCAGTATCCTCTTTTAAATCACTTCTTAAAACCCACTTTTATAAAACAGCTTTTAACTGTTAGTTTTAAACTTCACATGCTGTATTTTAAGGTCTGCTTTGTCTTTGTTGTGTCTCCCTTCTTGTGTTTGTATCTGTATTTTGACTTTGCATTATGTTATTATTTTTATTATGCTGACTGTGCAGCGCTTTGTAAACATTGTTTTTAAAAGTGCTATACAAATAAAGATTATTATTATTATTATTATTAATATTATCTTATCTTATCTTATCTTATCTTATATAAAGTAGTTTCAATCTTGGACCGAGGACCAAGCTTTTCTGAGGGGATCCGTGTTGGTTTCACTGGACTCTTCAAATGCTTTAGGCCAATGTCCTTATATGGGCATTATTTCCGACGGTGTTAGCTTTGTGCCGTAACAGGGTCAGACGTGTTGCAAAAATGGTTGCCTTCAGGCAACCATTTTGGTGGGGGAAACTTCAGGCAAGCTGAAGTTTCCCCCACCAATGAAGGCATCTAATTGTTCAACCCTTTTATGGCGCATAGCTGGATTTACAATGGCAATATCAACATTAAAACATCAGGGTCACAGAGAGTGCTAAACCACAGAATTCTAAGCCCAAAATGGTGAGTGTGACACAAATTGATTCTGAGCTAGAGGAGTTTGCTTTTACATGTAAGTCAATGAAAGTGCGAGTTGCAGCAAAAGCAAGTTATTATTGTCCATTTATATACAGTCTATGGTGAGAACAGACCAGCACTTCTCATGATTGGATTTCTTTGGTTGCAAGGCCGCTGCTCCATACAGTACTGACCAAAAGTTTTGACACACCTTCTCATTCAAAGACTTTTCTTAATTTTCATGATTATGGAAATTATATATTCACACTGAAGGCATCAAAACTATGAATTAACTCGTGGAATTATGTACGTATCTAAAAAAAAATGAAACAACTGAATAGTCATGGACAGAAAGGAAACTCATTGAATGATAAAGTGTGTCCAAACCTCTGGTCTGTACTGTATGTCATTTGGCTCCAAATTTCAACTTGAGTTTCCTCTAATTATATGTTGTATATTTATTATATTTAGGTTATTCCCCAAGTTTGAACAAATGCGGCAGCTCGTTATGTAAAATTGTTAATTATTAGCTCCGCAGAATAGCCTTATTAATCCCAGGGTTGAAGTGCGATGCACAACAACAGTGTGTGATTATATAAAGTGGTTTATGTCTCTGGAGGAAGGAAGTCACCTTTATTTGTGCTGACGGGAGATACCAAACTTTGAGACGCAGCAATTTTCAATGTTATGGCGCGGTTTACACACAGACACATTCATTCATTCATCAATTTTTATTCATTAATTTTCTACCCCTTTGTTAGTCCATTTCTGGGTCGGGGGGCTGGGGGGTGACAATCAGAGCTGCCACCCAATGCTCATAGCACCAGTCCCTTGCTGATCCTCTGCAGGTGGGGAGTCCACAGGAGGACGGCTGCTACATTAGAGGTGCCACAGCCTTGGTGTGCCTTAGCCGCACAGACACAATCAGGCACAATCAGGTGAAGCTATAAAGAGAGAAGCTAAAGACATAAAAATCAGTTGTGTTGGAGATAAAGTGGAGCTTTCTTGACCTCACCATGAAATGTGTTTTTTTTTACGATGGCTGTTGTAAACACACACAAAGTGCAGGCCAATGTTTTCAAAACTATGGATTTGAATGCTTTCTGACAGTAGCACAGGAGAGTTAACACCCACTACATTTGCCATCGTCTCCAGAGGTCTTCTGATGCGTTCTTTGGCAAACCTGGGCCCCAACTCAAATATGAGAAAAATATGAGAAAATTCTACACTTATTTTTTAGCACAAAAATAACACTAGGACAAAGTTACATGGACAATAATAACTTGGTAAATATGACCCTTTAAACAGCAGTTGTCTCCGAGGACTTTACAAAGTTTTTGAGTCCACAACAGATCAGAGAATCAAACAGTTAGAACACAGAAAGTGTAGTAAAAAGTGGATGCACATTCTCTGAATTTCAGCCGCGTGAGTTTAGAAAAGATGAGCAATGAGCCCCTGAGTCGTGTTTGCCCAGGTCTGCTCTACCTCATTTGGAGCTGATTTTCTAAGAGAAGAGATCCTGTTGGGGTTGCATCGCCCTTTACCGACAATAGCAATAAAGAGCACACAAAAATGTTTAAAATGTATTATTTATGTGTGTGTGTGTGTGTGTGTGTCCAGGCCTGGCCAGTGTGGTGACCTCCCTTTACCTCTGTCTCTACTACAACATCATCAACGGCTGGAGCTTCTGGTACCTGTTCCACTCTTTCCAGGTGAAATCGCACATGTTCCAACACATTTCCTCATTAAAGTAATAATTATTATGATATCTATACTTAAAATTTATAAATATAGCATATTTCAAAGGAACTCAAAGACAAAAGTTTAAAAAACCAATGGGGCCAAACCTGTGCCTTGAAGGACACCCTGTATGTTTACACACATGTCTCTCTTTTCTCCATGTTCTAACATTGTTCCTGAACACAGACCTGCATCCACAATTATATTAGACATTTCTAGCACCAACACTATGGAGCTATTATTGTTTCAATAATATTTGTGTGTGCGTAAACAGATTTGTGCGTGCGTAACCAAATTTGTGTGTGCGTAACCAGATTTGTGTGTGCGTAACCAGATTTGTGTGTGCGTAACCAGATTTGTGTGTACGTAAAAAGATTTGTGCGTGCGTAACCAGATTTGTGTGTGTGTAAAAGAAATATTTGTGTGTGTGAAATAGATTTGTATGTACGTATCAAGATTTGTGTGTGCGTAAAAAGATTTGTGTGTGCGTAAAAAGATTTGTGTGTGTGTAAAGACGTTTTTTTTTTACACACGAATCTTTTGACGCAGTCCTGCCTTCGCAGATTCGCAAGTGTAACTTGGACTGTGTGTGTGCATAAACAGATTTGTGTGTGTGTAATTTGACATTTGTATCTGTAACAGAACAATCTGTGTGTAAATAACCACCTTGTACGAAGAGAAGAACGGAAAAAAGGCTCCGTTCACACAAATCTACTTTTGACACACCTCTGCCGCTTAGCGTGTGTCAAAAAGATTCGTAAGTGTAATGTGGTTGTTCTAGCAGTACACCAGCAGATGGTGCTGTTGTAGCTGGTTATTACCTACGGGCAAGCAAACCAGCAGAGTTTGTAGCACTATAGTGTAGATAGAGAAAACCGAAGGATTTAAGAAGAAAAGTTCAGGATGACAAGGAACACAAAAATTCCCACAAAATCCGACTTTTATGAAAGCTGTAGGTTTATGACTTTTATGAAAGCTGTAGGTTTATGACTTTTATGAAAGCTGTAGGTTCTCTGTCAGCTGTTTTAGTTTACTTTGAGTTCTATGGGGAAAATGTCTGTGTAGCCCACGTGAATTTAGTCTGCAGTACGCTAGAATCCCTCAGCTCCAAGCTAGTAACACCCAAACCAGTTATTATAATAGATCCATGTATAATACAGTGGTGTGAATGACAAGATCTTAAATATAGGAAACGCATATTTACACACGCACAAATATTTCTTTTACACACACACAAATCTGGTTACGCATGCACAAATCTTTTTACGTACACACAAATCTGGTTACGCGCACACAAATCTGGTTACGCACGCACACATCTTTTTACGCACACACAAATCTGTTTACGCACACACAAATATTATTGAAACAATAATAGCTCCATACAACACATTCTCCCGCCCCGTCTGTTTAAATCCTCTGTTTGAAAACTTGTTCACTTTTACCAAATTTCTTACATGTTCATCCTAGGGCTGTCAAAATTATCGCGTTAACTCACATTAATTACATTTTTCATTAACGCGTAATTTTTTTTAACGCATGTCCGAATGACCCGCCCATTTATCCATAATAACACTCAGAATGTTGCGGACACATGCGTGTGTAAGATGGCATCAGAGCAGGTAGGCCCTCTGGGAATCCAAGTTTTAAAAGAATATGCGCGTGACCGCGTTGTTTGCTGAGTCATACAGCAAACAACAGCTACCCCGGGGGCAGCTGCGGCCGCTCTGGTTGTTGTTAGCGGCTCACAACACGGCTGTGAGCGAATGGCGCCTTGCTGTCTGAAAAAGCTGATCACAAGATGTGACAGAGCCCACTACCTCACTAATGTTGAGCTAGTTATTATTGCTAACTGTTTTCGAGCCAGGAGCTAGTAGCATGGTTCTAATGCTGTGGTCTCAAAGTCACATACCCCAACTTTAATTCAGATGTATTGTATTGTATATGTCAACTTTAGTTAGATAAACACATCTTTTTTCATCGGTCTCACTGTGTTCACATGTGCTTCTTGACCAGTCTGTGCTGCCCTGGTCCACCTGCCCTATCTCGGCCAATCGCACGGGGCCGTTGGAGGAGTGCCGGATAGCCACGCCCACACAGTACTTCTTCTACCGCGAGACCCTGAACATCGCCCCCACCATCGAGGCCAACGGGGGCCTCCACATGGGACAGGCCCTGTGTCTGCTGCTCGCCTGGGTCATCACCTACTTCTTCATTGTCAAAGGTGTCAAGTCCACCGGCAAGGTACGCACACAAGACTGAAAAATGAGAATTGCGCAACTGAAGGAAACAAAATATTCACCAGCAGATTATTTTAAATCTTGGCACTATTGCTCATTTGGCAGGAGTTGATGTCCTTTGGTGTGTTCCAACATTGTTTCGTCACAGACCTGGAGTTGTTCTGAGATCCGTTCATGCTAGAAAGATACACTGAACTCACGATTTGATTCATTCTAATGTCCTGAAAATGAATGCTGAATTCTGAACAAAAGGATTTTACTGACAAGAAAAAGTTACTAAAAGCGGAATTGAAATGTTTTCAATGTCGAACTATTATAGTGTCTCTCTTGTGTCTGTCGCCCCCTGCAGGTGACTCATACTATCTCTCTTGTGTCTGTCGCCCCCTGCAGGTTGTGTACTTCACTGCCACGTTCCCGTACATCGTTCTGTCCATCTATCTGATCCGGGGACTCACGCTGCATGGAGCGGTCAACGGTGTCGTCTTCATGTTCACGCCAAAGGCACGAGTCACTGTTGTTGTTGTGTTCTAAGGCTGAGTTTACACGGAGACAATGTGGCAGTAAAACGCTATAGTTGGATGTCGGTTGCTACCAACCGTTCATACGAAGACTGTGTTCCAGGGGGATGAAAACGTAAGTGTTCAGATCCAGCCTGCAGAGTGGGACAACTCAGAAACGCTGCACAGCGGGGGCTCTCTTTCACACCAGCGAGAGGTGAAAGGTGTGAAATCCCCCTCTGCTCTGACCCCCGCCTCCGCGCTGCTCCCCGCACGTAAATTTGGACATGCGCAGTTGCGGAGAACAAACATAAACACCAATGGCGGCGGTCACACTAACTAGCTTCGTGGGTTCCAGCGCGGCCCAGAGGATAATTCTACTCCTTCGTTCGTCCAAACGAGACCACGCGAAGCTCTAGGTTCAGTTCCCATTTTCACAGCTGCTGTTAAAATGCAGAATGATGTTGGTACTCTCTGAGGGTCTGGCACAGGAAGTGAGTACACTGCCGAGAGGGGGGCTGGGCACGGGGCTGGGGGTCGTGTGAGTGTTGTAAAGTTTATCTGCCCACTACTGGCCGGGCGCTAGAACTACATCGTTTTTCAACCTCATGTGAACGCAGAGAAATTTGCATTAGGAGCCTGATCGTTTCTGTTAATAGCTTGGAAACGTCTGCGCAGCGTCTCAGTATAAACAGGGCCTGAGTGTTAATCAGGAGGCGGTGATGATGCAACCATCTCTGAATCTCTGCAGAGAGACAATAACCAGCGGCGTATACAGAGTTTTGATATCTTTCTTCTCTAGAACCTGGTTTGTGCCTTTTCAGAGCCCCAAAACCCTGACTTTGTATATTGATGATTCTGGATTCAAGAAAAATGTTTGCGTTTCGGCCAATATATGACTTTATGTGAACTAGGGGTGAGAACCTAAGGGTACCTCACGATACAATACACGATACAAAGCTCACGATAACGATATTATCACGATAACGATATTATCACGATAACGATATTATCACGATAACGATATTATCACAATAACAATATTATCACAATGACGATTTTATCACGATATGACGATTATCGATATATTGGTCAGAAATATACCATATGCCAATTTATGGCATAAATAAAAGAAAAAAAATACACTTTATTTCATGATAAATGGAATGGAGATGGGTAATGTAGCCATTTATAAAGTATTGATACCAATTAAAAAAAAGTAATTTGTAAAAAAACAAAAACAAACTTGATACTCGAAAAAATCGATACTTGGCAAATGCATATTGATAATCGAATCGCGGCAGAAAGTATCGCGATATATCGATATATCGTCACACCCCTAATGTGAACAGGTCCTGTGAGAGAAGAGCCTAATGTTAGCTGCCATTAACCTTTGGAGAAGTTTCATTAAATCTTTATCTTCTCTGTAGATTATGAAAGGTTTCTCAAAACTCTCATTATCCCGTCTATTTAAATGTGGCAGTTCTGCACTCACCAAAATCATGGCGATCACAGCTATTGTAGTAGTACAGTGGTTACTTGTTTATTATAGAGGTTACGTTCTAAAATGTACCAGCAATAAGTGATATCCTCTCAGTAGCAGCTCTAGGTTTTAAGGCTGTAAAACCCTCACACACATGTTGTACACTTCTCTAACCACCTGATCTCATGACTGCTCAAGTGAGAGAGACCAGGGAGAGAGACCAGGGAGAGAGACCAGAGAGAGAGACCAGAGAGAGAGAGACCAGAGAGAGAGACCAGAGAGAGAGAGACCAGAGAGAGAGAGAGACAGATATCAAACTTGTTGGTTGTAGGTCTGTGCGCTGCTGCAGCTGTCAAAAACCGCGCATACACTGTAAAATGCACCAGGGGAAAGACCACGGAAGTCCTCTGAACTAATCACCGCAGTGCACTCCTAACATTTTTATTTTGTCATATTGTATATAAACATATAGTGATGGACCACTGTACATGTCCTGATCTAAAGATGTGACAGAGACCAAAAATACATGAAACCAGTGATGGAAGAAAACTTTTTTACAGCCAGGAACTAGTGACATTGATTTAATCACATTGTTCTATTTTCTAAGTTACATATCCCAGCTTTACATTTGGAATGCCCACGCCTGACCTTTGTGTTTGTATACCTGTGTTTCAGTTGGAGCAGCTGGCGAACCCGTCCACGTGGATTAACGCGGCCACACAGATCTTCTTCTCGCTGGGGCTGGGCTTCGGCTCGCTCATCGCCTTCTCCAGTTATAATCAGTACAACAACAACTTTGAGAAGCAAGCCATCATCGTATCGCTCATCAACAGCGGCACGTCCATCTTCGCCAGCATCGTCACCTTCGCCATCTACGGCTTCAAAGCCACGGTCAACTACGAGAACTGCCTGGACAGGTCAGGGCCTGAAGAACCAGACTTATTTTCCCTGGTCATTTACACACAAAGTTGTTTTATTACAACTCCTGCATGCTTAAGTTATTTATACCCTCTTATACAAGGTCCGCCATTGCTCTCCCCTCAGTCCTCAGTCACCACACCTAGCCCCTCCCCCTGCCCTCTTACTTACTTAGATCATTATTTATTTCAAACTTTATTATAACACAGAATAAAACTATAAACAAGGGAAAGCGTATTTCAATCTGGAGAGACTTGAGCAGACATTATTATTATTAGAATTGGATATATTGTTTGGCAATTAATCGGACACGACATGAATGAATACGTTTATTGCTTTTTTTAATTTCATTTAATTTTTTAGAAATGTGGTTACGATTCTGCCTTTGGCCTTTGACTTAGACTCTGGCAGAGGGGAAATGAAGATAGAGATTATGAAATTAAATCCCCTGGGGCCTAGACCCTGGTGGCGGGTGAGGACTACAGCTTTCCCTAGCAACCGTCTTAGCAACACATCTGCCCCCATTATGACGCAAAGCTAACGCTTTTATAACAATTTCCCATGTAAGTAATTTGGCTCCAGCCAGTTTATGTTCAAATCAGCCTCTTCTGAACTATGGCTAACACTATGTGACGTCACACTCAGTCAATCCACTCCTAATGACCTCCAGAATGATGCTCTCTCCTTTTCAGACTGCGACTCCTCCTCATGAACGCCTTCAGTTTGGCCGAGGACGTGATAAACCAGGAGAACGTGCTGCATTGGTTGGAGAAGCTCAACTCCACCCACCCGCTGGAGTTCGCACAGATCGCAGACCAAGTAGAAACATGCGACCTCAACAAAGAGCTCAACACGGTACGCACCTGAAAACAGCTCCTCAACCTGCTGTCCTTCATTTGTGTTCTCAATTCACAGTTCAATTTCCTGTGTTGCATTGCATTTCCTGCGTTCCTGTCTACTTGGGTGGGGTATGTGTGCTGTGAAGAAATTCTTTATTGGTCCCTCAGAGGGGAAATTTCAGTGTTGCATCAGCAGTTACAGAACCGTAGGAATACACACAGCACAATTTAAGTGAACAAAAACCTCTCAAACTTTAGCATAATATGGAAGCAAGAACAAAACTTTGCATATTCTAGTGCAAGAAAGATATACTTGTATGTATACATCTGTACTTAGCAGCATGAGGGCCTGGGACAAAGTGACAGTGGACACTTGTGTTTCATGTTTGTATGAGTCCCAATGCTGCAGTGAGGTCTTGGTCTGTGTGCAGGCGGTGGAGGGCGCAGGACTGGCCTTCATCGTCTACAGCGAGGCCATCACCAACATGCCCCTGTCCCAGCTCTGGTCCGTGCTTTACTTCTTCATGCTGCTGCTACTGGGGATGGGCAGCATGTTGGGAAACGTCACGGCCATCATCACGCCCATGAGGGACTTCGGGATATTCTCCGGGATAAGTGACGAAGTCCTCAACGGTAAACATACTAAAATAGCTATTCTATCTGCTTTCACTAAGAAATTGATTTAAAATGAGGTTTTCCAGCTTTGAGATATTCTGAGGGAATGTTACAGGGTTGGCCTTTTTTGTTCCCTGTGTCACAACTTGGGTCTTTGGGCTGAGAGCTGATTGGCTCTTTTTCACTTGTCTGTCTGAAAAAGACAGTTTTTAGAGCCAGGAACTAGTGACATAAATCTTATTAAGAAGTTCTATTGTTGTGGTTTGAAATGAACGCACCCTTGCTTTAATATCTGTTTTCTGTCTCCGTGAACCTTCGTTGCAGGTGGAGTGTGCGTGTTCTGCCTCCTCCTGGGCCTCGGCTTCACCACTCCCCCTGGAAACTACTGGTTCACAATGTTCAACGACTACGGCGCCTCGTTCTCCCTACTCTTCATTGTCCTCATCGAGGTCATCACTGTCAGCTACATTTACGGCCTCAAGAGGTGAGATCTCGTGGAGCACAGACTTCTGCCGAAATTTGAGATCTCATGGAGCGCAGACCTGTCCTAACAGGTAGATAGGAAACTAGGGTTCAAGGCCTCAGTATACATCAAAAGATGGTTAGAGGCCCCAGTATACAAACAATTAATTGTCCAGGGGCTGACAACATGGACTGACTGGCCTTGAGCTGTTCTAATCAGGTATGACATGGTTCACATTTGATGGAGCTGAAGTTGGCTGAATTGCACATGTTGAGGGTTACAGCGGCTACATAAGCGCCATGCAGTAAAAACAAATAGTCTCAATAGTTATCAATTGCATTACAGAAATCCTGATCTTCACAAAGGAGGTAAAACATGTCTATATAGGCAGAGCTGAAGTTGGTTGAATGACTGATTTAGATTATTTTATTAAGATGAAAAGATCCTTTATTCGTCCCACAGCGGGGACATTTTAGTTACATAACAGTAGGAAATACACTACCGTTCAAAAGTTTGGGGTCACCAAAGTGTTTTCCATGAAAAGTCACACTTATTCACCACCATACGTTGTGAAATGAATAGAAAATAGAGTCAAGACATTGATAAGGTTAGAAATAATGATTTGTATTTTAAATAAGATTTGTTTTACATCCAACTTTGCTTTCGTCAAAGAATCCTCCATTTGCAGCAATTACAACATTGCACCAAAAACCAGACATTTGCAGCTAGAATAGTCATTTACCACATAAGCAATGTATAGAGTGTATTTCTTTACAGTTAAGACTAGTTTAAAGTTATCTACAGTGCTTTTCAATGTGACCCCAAACTTTTGAACGGTAGTGTATATTGAATTAACTGAATTCACAACGAGACTGCCTCGTCTCAGGTGTCGGCACTGATCACTGTTTAGGAGAAACAGATGAATGTGGATGAATCATAAGTATGGTAGGTAAGGTTGTAAGCCAAGGCAAGGCTAAATTATTTGAATTGCACAACTCATACACAAGGCGACTCAAAGTGCTGAACAAGAAAAAAGATATAGACAATCACACAAGACTTCAAAATCATTAAGTATCAGTTTATTCATTCTGGCGCAGCTCTGTGAACAGATTCTCTTGTCTGAATTATTGGACCCAGGTACCGAGCTGCACTTGTGGTGAAGAACTTTAGGTGTAAACGAAAAGCTGCTCAAACTCATGTGCATCAAAGCCTGTCCACCACCTCCGCGGTGCAGTGTGCCATTGGTTTTACAAGTCATGCAGCTGAATTTGAATATCCAAAACACAACATTGTAGCGGCAGAGAGAATGCAGCATTACAGATAGCACTTCAAGGTCACTTCAGATGGAAACACAGAAATCCACACTATTCTTTGGAATTTCAGTGGCGCCTGAGAACAGGCTCATAAAGCCACTCTCTCCGGGCTCGAAGCAGAAGTTACTGCCTTAGGAATGTCAAAAACTGAGCCACTGTGGACTTCAACTTTAACTCAAGTTCACACGGAAATCTGGGACATATGTTTCTTCCAAAATATTAGACAAATAACTTAATAATTACACCTTTTTAACCACAAGTACCATCTACAAACTTCACCAAGGACTGTGCCTGCAAAGGAGACTACCACGGTCCTCCTTCTGTGTTTCAATGATGGTTCTTTGATGATTGAATGTGTGACCTTTCGGATATGGGCAGAAAAGAAAGCTGTGAACGTTGTGATGATTGCCGACTTGTTTATTGTGTTTAAGATTTTCCAAAGACATCGAGGACATGTTGGGCCACCCTCCAAACCTGTACTGGAAGATCATGTGGGGAGGAGTGAGCCCGCTTCTGCTCATCGGTCTGTTAATCTTCTACATCATCAACTACATCCAGGGAGGCACACCCACCTACCAGGCCTGGGACAAGGAGCTGGTGAGACCTTTATGACCACTTTCATCTATTTGAATGAGAAAAGTGTCTGCATGTTCTCACGGTTGTGTTGTGTCCAGGGGGGGTCGGTGGTCAAAGAGTATCCGGTGTTTGGGCAGTTCTTCATCGGGATGCTGATCGTATCTTCTGTGAGCTGCGTGCCAATAGCAGCTCTGTACGCCTTCTGTCAGAGGAGGAGGTCAAGGAATACAGCTGTGTACACATAGACCTTCCCCGAGAGACCTTGAAGACCCCAAACAGACCCCAACTCAGCCTCAACTACCAGGGACAGCTCTGTAAGCCTACTGTTGATGTAGGAGGTCCAGGAATGCAGCGTTACACACATAGAGCCTCTCAAAGAGACCTTGAAGACCCCAAAGATAACTCTAAACAGACCCTCATCCCAGGGACCGCTTTGTAAGCCTAATGTTGAAGGAGTAGAGCTGCCCAAAAAACCCAAGAGCCCTCCAAACAGACCCTCAACCCAACCCCAAGACCTACCCATCAGACACCTTTGCATGCCTGTTGTTGAAGGAGGAAGTCGAGGAATATAGCTGTGCACACCAAGAGCCACCCAAAGATAACTCAAGGCGACCCCCCAACAGACTCTCAATCCAGCCTCAACCACAACGGACAGCTCTCAATGTTCTACTGTCAAAGGAGGAGGTTCAGGAAGCAGTCTACACAAAGAGCCGCCCAAAGACTCCAAGCTTGAGCAGCCAGACCCACACAATTTAACAATATGCTATGGGCAATGTTTGGATGCTTTTGATTGGACAGAAAACAGGAAGTGGCTGCAGAAAAACAAACAAAAGTGTGCACATGTGCATGGCTGCATCTCACAGTGAGGGGTGTTCCTCCTTTAGTCTGTGTTTTAAACAATCAAGAAACTTGCAGCATTCGCCATCTTGCATCCAACTTCAGCCAGAACACTTCTCTCTCTGGTCTAACTCTGGACTCTCTCAGGACTCTCTAGTCTCTTCATTGAGACTTTGGTCAATGAATGGTCAATGAATGGAGATGGAACTTGAAGGACAAGAAAGGATGCAGAGAAAGTTCTTTGTTCCCAGTTCTTCTATTGTGATCTCCGAACCTTCTACTTTCACACGTGTCAGAAAGAAGGAGGTCTGGCTGCTCAGGCTAAAAGACCCCAAAGTGACCTTCACCCAAGTCCGACCCGCCAGACCCCAACAGCTCTGTGCACCTGCGGCCAGAGGAGAAGGCTCCAGGGCTACAGCTGTGTGCGCTTAGAGGAGGGCTGCACTATTATTCGCATGGAAATCACAATTTCTGTGGTCTCCAACAGCAAATCACAAAGACTGCAATTATTTAAGTATCTCGAAAGAAAAATGGGACGAAAACTTGGCAGAACTTAGTTGAATGTGTAAAAATATCTCTTGATATAAGTTTGTGTTGACTTATGTTAATTTGCCTTTCTGGTCTCTCTCTCTAGTCTCTCTGGTTTCTCTTTCTGGTCTCACTCTGGCAAACTCTCTCAAGTTTATCTCTGATCTCTCAATGTTCTCTCTCTGATCTCTCTTTGGGTTTTACTTTGAATAACATGAGACATTTTAAACATCCCAATCATAGTGCTGCTCAGAAATATCTAAGTTAGATATACAGTATGGACAGAATTATGGCCTAAGTTAGAGCCGCTCAAAGACCCTGATCACAGCTTGTTTTGGCTTCTTTCTCCGTGAGAAACGCCAGCTGAACACACATGCGCTTCAAGTGAAGAGGGAGGAGCTAACACCACAGCGCAATAACTGGAAGAGCCATAACTGACACTGGGATAAAAACAGGCTTATGAAGCACCAAAGGACACAACATTAGTTTGGTACTTTATAGCCACAGCCGTCCCACTGTGAACCCTGGGTGTTTCTAGAGGGCTCCCATCACAGTACTAAACTGGCCCTGCCTTGCTTAGCTTCTGAGAAACACAAAAAACGCGGAGATGACACTCACACACTCATGACACAGGCCATTATCTACATCACTAGATCACTAGGCCTAGATGGTGTAGGCCTTTCTACCACAAGTATAAAGGCCTAAAAGGTACATTTTATCATTAAAAAATCAGTGATTTTTTGATATACATTAATGTACATAATAAATATTATGGGTCCCAGTATCGACCCTTGCGGTTCCCCACAGGTCATGTCCCAACAACAAGATGCTTGTTCCATTGGTCCATTGGTCTTCACAGGGAAAGGTGGATACATTTTCTACAATTCAAGCATAATTCTGGTACATTTCTTGCATTTAAATGTCTTTGCAAAGAACTCAATAATTGCAGTCTTTCTTATTAACTCTTCATGATCACTGACTCTGTGATTTTGAGCTTTGAATGTGATTAATCTGGCTGAAGTATGAATTAGCCTTAACTGTACGACTCCACACACTCTGGCCCAATTCTTTTTACTTTACTGTATTTGTAGAGATGGATTTTTGTATTTTTACAAAATATGTTTTGCATAGAGAACTTTGTCAGCTCTCAAAAGAGAACTGACTATTCTGGTCTCTCTCTGGCCTTTTTATGGTCTCCTCCCAAAATGCTATATTTCCTGGATTTTGTAACATATGTATATAGTGTCCTGCCTTTGACTACTGACCCATGTGTGCGCACGCCTGAATGAACACAGATCACAAATGTGCCTTTTTCTCTCTCCTCATGTTTGACTACAGAGAAGAGAGTTCTATTTGAATGTTTGGGTGGGTCCGGGCCTTAAAAGGAGACATGTTCTCTGTGTTGAAAAGAGCACGGCCAGTCCTCACATAACGCCACTCTTGCAGCGTGTTGATAAATCGTCTGCACGTTCTCATAAAGTCTCTGTGGAATTTCACACTGAGCTGAAGCCGAGGTGCGAGCGCCTTTAAGGTGTGTAAACCAAACCAGCGCACAGAAACACGTGCGGTTCTATTTCACAGCGCAAAGTCACTGCAGACACGGACTGGTGTGTCAGAACGACTCGGCATCCAACCCGCCTTGCAACCTAGTCTTTTTGCCGAGGCGTGTTTAGGATGATAATTTAGGCACAATGAAACCAAACTGTTTTTAGGCTGTTGCACACAAAGGGCTCTGGTGATTTCTGTTCCAAAACTACACACAAGTCACACGAGGGACGCTGCATAATGACAGCGTAACGAGCCGTGGAGCTGTGTTTGGGTGAGTGAAGCTCTCACCGTCTGAGTTTGAGCTGTTGCATGCGCTGCGCTTTCCTTTATAAAGTTGAGACCAGAGAGTTGAGAAACTCTCTTGTCTCTCTGGATTCTCTCTGGTCTCTCTCTGGTCTCTCTCTGGTCTCTCTTTGGTCTCTCTCTGGTCTCTCTCTGGTCTCTCTCTGGTCTCTCTTTGGTCTCTCTCTGGTCTCTCTCTGGCCTCTCTCTGGTCTCTCTCTGGCCTCTCTCTGGTCTCTCTCTGGTCTCTCTCTGGCCTCTCTCTGGTCTCTCTCTGGTCTCTCTCTGGTCTCTCTCTGGTCTCTCACTGGTCCTAGATACTCGCGCTGTCAAGTTTCTAAAACTTTTTTTTAGAAAAGGCGGGTGAAGTTGTGGTGTAAATCTTGTACATAGTAGATATTTTTCTTTATTATGCTTCTAACATTTGTACGATGAATTTTGTAAATAATAAAAGTTGACTAAAAACATGTGTCTTTGTGTTTGTGGTCGTAAACGTGGCCCAAAGTTCAAGTTGTTAGTACTTTTGTGGCCTCTGTATATAAAATGCTTTCTCACTTTGTCGGATACAGTGTGGATGGAATACAACTAACACCTGAAGATAAGGGTTATAAACAGGTGAGAGAGAGATATCAGTCCTAAATAAAGCAACAGAAACTATAAAATAATAAACTTTTAAACGGATAAGAGTTGGTTTTGATGTGATAATGAGTTTCAAACGGTGGCATTGGAAAAAACACTGCACAAGAGTCAAGGCCTCAACTTCCTCCTTCACAAGTTATATATAGTTGTATAAAGTGATCATAGACTGTTTACAGATGGACAATGCTAGCTCAATGATCTCCAATAGGGAAGTGATAGCGGACAAAGTTTTTATTGACATTGATAAAAAATCTCCTCGAGCTCAGGAGCCATTTATGTCACACAGACCATTATGGGCTTTCAATGACCTTGATCTCGCTATGATCCTGTTGTTTATATTGTGATATTATCTTTGGAAATTCAGATATGAGCCGTGGTGGAAACTCAAGCTTGCCTTAGCAATGTGTCTGCCCCTGTTACTGCGCAAAGCTAATGTCAAAGAAGAAATGGTTGTAGGAAATTCAGCTTCAGATTCATTTATGTTCAAATTGCCTTCTTCTTAAGGCTAACACTGTGGTGATGTGACACTTGGTGAGTCCACTCCTAATCTACAGTCTATGATAGTGATATAATAACCTGAGCCTCAGCCTGAAGAAGGTCCCTGTCCTGTGGAAGACCTCCGTGTCATCCCAGTTCCTGAAACAGCGCACGCGAAGGAACCGGCTCACTACAGACCAGTCACACTGACCTCCCACCTGATGAAGACCATGGAGCAGCTCTTCCTCACCCATCTCTGCTCCGTGGTCAGCCCCACCCTGGACCCGCTGCAGTTCGCCTACAGACCCAACATCGGAGTAGAGGACGCTGTTATCTACCTACTGCAGTGGACGATTTGTCTTTGCACAAATCTGAGTGAATCTATGTATTTACAAAATATACCAACCGCAATACACAATTTGAATAAGGGTTGGACGAGGCCGATGCTTATGTTGATATGACACAACAGAAAGCACACACAAACACTAAGACAACACACAAGCCCAAACACTCTCTAGTATTTAAAAAAAATATATATATATATATATGTATCATCATAAACACTACAATTGTATATAGATATTGATAAATCCCTACGTATGAGTGAGAACCTTGTTTTGACATAATTGAGTAGAGTGTGGTGTCCCGGGAGGAGACCAGACAAGTTGCCAATCAGAGAGAGGTCGCTTTCTCTGTGCTTTGTTGTTGTGTGCGAGTGTTGATATTGACTTGTCTTGTTTTGTGTGTGTGCTCCTCCTGTTTCTTTGCCTTGTTATGCAACACTGAAATGTCCCGACTGTAGGATGAATAATGACTAAAAACTTTTTTCTGGTTCTGCAGAGGTTTTGTGACGTTCTCCGCTATTTTATCCCTGTTTCCACCAGCCCTAATTGGCCTTACTCGACTCCACTCTTCCTGGTTGTGTTTCCATTATGCTTCAGTATCATATCCTGGCATCCTCTGGTTAGAGCTTGTTTGAACACCTTAGTATCAGCTCGGCCTGGATAGAATCAGGACCAAGAGGAACTAAAGAAGGACCAAACAGGGCCGTTGGAAACGCTTCCACTCAGTCATAGGGCTGATGGAAAAGGGGCTTATGAAGAGGTTTCCAAGTGATCCATTCATCTATTATAACTCTTTTTCTGTACTTTAATTCACACAGAAGACCAGATACTGTGGAGGGTCTCAGCGCAGTCTGAAGAGGAGACGAACACCTGTGGATCTCCTGACACCTTCTGTCGTGAAGCTGTACCTCCTCCTGCATGAAGGCACATTCAGACCGGCTCATGCGTTGCGTCGGCTTTCAATGCAAAGTCAATGGTGACGCGCGTTTGAGCGTCAAAACGCACGAACGTCTCGGAATGCACGCACGGCCCGTGCTGGGAAGTCGAAGGGGAGGAACGGAGGAGATGGATTTTGCTCAACCTTTCCTCGGGACATTCGTGCAGCAACCAATCAGAGAGCCGCAAAATGGTCACGGGGACATTTGCAGACTGAGCGAGCAGAATGAAAATACTCGTAAACAGCCACATCAGGACTAAACCAGGGTTGACAATGGGGGACATAGTGCTTGTTAACATGTGAGTTTTCATGCTCCCGTGACTTTATGCAACCGCTTCGAGTGTGTTCGCCAATGCGGAAATACCGTTTAATAATAAAATAAACTTATTGCGCACCTCCGTGAACACACACTACTGTTATATAAAGTCTGTGGAAGGTCTCAGACACAGACACGCTGCAAAGCTGCATAATTGGAGAAGATCTGTACACAAGAAGCCGCTAGCTTAACTCTGTTAGCATCAGAGCCCGCCGGCTACTTACGCTACTTCCGGCGCAGGCCAGGACTTCTTCTGGTCTGAAGACCCCTGCGTCTGAAATCTAGAGAATGTGCGTTTCAGCGTTGACGGTCTGAACACAGCTTGAGACTCCTCTGAACACTCAGGGACCTCGCTGTGACC